CAAAATCGAGTTTTTAGGTCAAAAATGGGTAAAAAACGGGCCAATCTCTGGTTTTCGGGTAAAATATGAGTTTTCGTGTCAATTTCGGGTTGTTGGGTCAGCCCGAATCCGACCTGATTTTTAAAACGGGTTGATTTGTTAAACCTGAACCTGACCCGTTTCAAGTCGTGTCAAAAATTGACACCCCTATTGGGGAGTAGCTGTGCTTGAGGTGGGCTAGGCAAGCTGGAGTGTTGATGTGTTTGATGTTTGTTCGGCCAAGTAGAGGTTTGGCATATGAGAGGTAGTACTATATGATCTAAATAAAAAAGTTTACATGTTAAATATCTAAATTATTTTTGCGAGCTATGTCTGAAATCCCCTTGAGAAAATTTAAGAAAATCTTGGTTAGAAGCTCCTCCTATCAATTTTTGTTAGGAGTGCTAGATAAGTACAACAACAATAACAACAATAAGTCTTTATCCCACTATGTGGGGTTGATTACATGAATTATTTTTCTCCATTGTGTTCTATTAAGAATTAATTTCTCATCTAAATCTTATAAAGAAAGGTCATTTTTAATATTTTTAAGCAATTCTTTTAAGGTCTATCTCTATCTTTCTTAACATAAGTTAAGTCTAATACATCTAATTTCCTAACCGGGTCATTGGAAGGTTGCTATTTTATTGGATTAAACCATCTAAGGCGACTCTCTCTAATCTTATCTTCCTTTGAAGCCACTAATGTTTTCACGTATATGCTCATTTTGTATCATGTCTCTAAGAGTAAAGTCACTCATTCTCTTGAGCATCCTCATATTTGCAACAGCTAACTTAATATTATGTTTCTCTTTTAATGGCCAACATTTTGCATCATAAAGCATTGCATGTCTCACTATCATTTTATAGAATTTTCCCTTAAGTTTGAGAGGGACTTTTCTTTCACACAACAAGCTCGATGCATTTCTCCACTTAAACCATAGAATTTGAATTCTACCAATAATATCCCCATCAATGTCACCATCACTCTAAACAATAGATCCAAGATATCTAAAACGTGTACTCTTATTAATGACTTGATCGCCCAAAGTCACAATTCCCTCACTATATTTATTATTAGTAAAATGATCTCTATATACTTAATTTTAAATCTATTCAAATGAAAGCTTTTAGACTATAAGGTTGACATCTATAATTCAAATTTACATTCAACTCTCTTTTGTCTTATCAATAAGAAGAAAATTATCAGCAAAAAAACATACACTAGGATAAAACCTCTTGCAAATGTCTAGTGAAAAACCTCTTGCAAATGTCTAGTGAAAACCTCCATGACTAAAGCAAAAAGATATGAGGCTGATCCTTGATATAATCCAATTGAAATAGAAAAATACTTGATCAAACCACCTTGTGTTTGAACACAATAATAACTCCAAAATCTTCTAACAAAAAATAACATATAATAAAAAATATAAGATATTTGTAAGAAAATTATGAAATAACTTTTCTGTGCTATAAAATAACAATAAAAATTTATTTTGTATTAAAAAAATTATAATAAAATTATAATACATATATATTATAATTTTGATCATTAATTTTACACAACACAAAATAATTCCAGAAGCTTTTGACCCAGAAATAGAGCCAATCTTTTGATTCATTTGACATCATAAGCGAAAAGAAAGCATCAAAATGTAAGAATATTTCATAATGAATACACGATGATACAATTATCAATTAGGTCAAAAAAGGAGTTTTGGGGTTATTTTTTAGTATAAAATAATTATTTTGTACTTATTATTAAAATGTTTAAATATTTTATAATTCTAATTAAATCCTATTTTATTTATAATGCACTTTGTGTTATAAAATTTTATTATGAACATCTGTTTCTTTTTCATGATAATATAATACTAAAATTAGATTATTTAAATGAATTATATAATTAGGAGCATGTAAATATAAATTCACTTTTTTTTTCTTTTATTTCATTTTAAATGAAAATAAAATATAAATAATGGCCACTCATTCTTTTAGTTTCTTTTGTTGAGAGTGAGATGCTAAGATGGGCTGTAAAATTAATGAACTTGTTTGGAGATAAGTGTAATATAAATTAGATATATTTTGTATTTGATCTCAAAGTACATTTAAGAGTTTTAAATCTCATCTTGATTATTTTTAACACTTTTTTGGGGTTAAATGTGCAACTTGTTTTACTTAACTTAAAATAAGTAAATAATTAATTATAAAAAATCCATGATGATTAGGTCAAATACTGTGCCATGAAAGAACACATGACCAATAGTAAGTGTTGCGTCCTGAAGTATTTGTGGCAGTAGAGAAATATAAAGCTTAACGTCTTAGCTTTGTACGAAAATCCGACACACAATCAAATAAGAGAAAGGGTGTGTAACATTTATAAGACACCAATATTTTTACGTGGAAAACCCCTAAAAAAGGGGGAAAAACCACGGGGCTTGGCCCAGTATGAATGAATCCACTAGTATTGTAGTTGATTACAAATGAGGTCCTTCCTCAGGGGAAGGCCTTAGCTTGATGTACATCTTATACAGTATATTACATGGTGAAAATACAAAGCATTATTGTTGATGTATTTGTTTGGTCCAAAGGACTATAGTCAGTGTGCGACATAAGTCGGAATGACCATAGTCGGTGGGCGATGGAGGTTAGAAGGACCGTTATCAACGGGCGACAGAGGCCAGAAGGATTGTAGTCGGCGAGCGACATTAGTCAGATGGACCGTTGTCTGATGACAGAGGTTAGAAAGACGACGTTAGGTAGAAGTCCAGTAATGGACATAAGTCCAACATCAGATAGATGTCCGGTGAAAGTCCGACAATAGGTAGAAGTCCATTGTAGGGTAGAAATTTGACGATGAGCGGAGGCCCGGTGTCGGGTAGAAGTCCGACGTAAGTTGGAGGCAGAGGAGAACTCCAACGTTAGATGGTATTCGGGTAGAACTCTGGCGTCACGTGGAGTTCGGGTGAAACTCCAGCGTCACTTGGAGGTTGGGCGGAATTCCGGCATCACTTGGAGTTCGGGCGGAATTCCGGCGTCACTTAGAAGTCGGATGGAATTCCGTCACTTGGGCAAAATTCCAGCATCTCGTGGAAGTTGGGCAGAATTCCGATGTCACTTCGACAGAATTCCGGTGGCGGTGGTCGAGGAGTTTCTTCCCTCATAATCTTCTCTTCTTTCTTGCTTCTCCTTGATTTGGCCCTCCTCCTTGCTTTTGCTCTCCCCCCTCTCTCAAGAGAAATGAGGGGCTATTTATAAAAATTTTGGAGTGGTATGACTTATAAATAGGTGGAAGATCAAGGGCAATTAGGGAGTGGTTTGGACGGACGGTCGATATTGAATCCCTTGATCATGATTCGTTCGTCAGACATTTGAAGGTCTTAATGATATTGGAATTCAACGATCTTGGGCTCGTTGGATTCTTCTCGTCGAGCCGCTCGATTCCACTATAAGCATGTCATATTTGAAAGCTGTTTGGTAATCCAAATTATGGATCGAACCTTTCAAATGTGCTTCGGGCCTTTGATTCGGACCCATTTGGGCTTGGATTGAGCTGAATTTGGTGTCGTTGGGTTCGTATTTCCGAGACGATCAATTCGACTGTAAGTTTGCTGAAATCGGAGTTCAGATGATCCTATAATTAATTTTTAAAGTTTCCAACTTGATTTTTGCCTTGAGATTTGTGCTCGATCAAGATAATTTTTCGATGATATATCAGTTAGCATAGCGCTACTTTTGATAAATTTAATTTTGTATGCCTTATGATACATATAAATATCTTAGGTATTTATTTTCTTGAAAAATATATCACTGTATGATGGATAATCTCTCTACTCTGAGCAAATACAAGCATTTTGATAAATATTATTTCTGTTGCCACAAGTCAGATCCTCCGAATCTTTTTTTGTTATGAATAGTCTCATCTTGAAAAGGAATAGATTAGGAAGCGAAGCAATACGCTTCTTTGAATTAAGACTTTTAGTTGAAGTCGAAAATTTTCAAAATCGGCTCGGACAATTGCATTCAAAATTTGCTCATCATTTATCATGTGAGATTGTGATGATAATATTGAGTTTTGATGCCATTTGCTTGCATTTCAGGAGTATTGATGGATTGGAGATGTGGAAATTGGTCATGGTAATGGCTGATGTGTGTGAATGATAATTGGAGGTCTTGATAGATTGAGCGAAGGCACTAATAAGACTGACATTAGCAAAGGAGAAGTAGAGTCCATAATGAAGCGAAGGTGCTATCACAAGATTTTGCTCATGAAAGAGCTTACCTGGGAGACATCAATGGGACTGATATGTTTGGGGAACAAGTGAATTTTTCATGATGGAGCTCATTGGAGAAAGCACCCGTAGGACTAATGACATGTGAGAACAAGAATCGCAGCTTGAGCATTGGTTCAAACAAGCTTTTAATGAAGCAAATTGAATCAATTCAAATAAAGGTATATAAAATTTATCCATCATCATTGCTAAAATATTGCTATTTATTGCTCAAATCAATTTCTTGGAGAGATTTATATATGACTCACATATTTTTATGTATTTACATATCTAATATAAAATATTTATATTTTCTTATATAATATTCAAATATATAAATCATATGAAAAATATAATTAATATTAATTTATTTAAAGTAAAACATATATTTTGATGGAATTTATACATTAAAAAAATAAAAATAAAAATAAATAGGATGTATATATATCTCACAAAATTCATATTACATAAAATCTAACCTTTATATTTATTTATATACTACTCAAATTTTAAATTATATAAAAAATATTAATATTACTTTATTTAATGCCAACAACTCAAATATAATTGTTGATAATGCTATAATAACAAATAATAGTTTTATGATATTTATATAAATATAATGTTTTAAATGTTAAATATATAAACGTATATTGACACTTTTTTTTTTTTAATTAAAAAAATCCCAGCACGCGCTACTTCAGGCTCGCAGCCGGAAAGTTAACCGTTTCAGCCGACCACTCTCTGCTCGACTCCAGCGAGGCTTCCAATCCGAGCCGTACATTTCCTCTAACACCATCGCCGGCGATGTCGGATTCTCTTGCCGGCGGCTCACCATCCAACCACTCCCTCGCCTTCCGTGTAATGAGGCTTTGCCGGCCATCGTTCCAGGCGGAGGACTCCGTTTTGCGCCTTGACCCCTTTGATTTACTCGCGGGAGAGGATCTATTCAACAACCCCGGCGTATCCTCTACCATCATCGACCAAGCCGTTGGCGGCCCAACTTCATTCGCTGCTGGCGAAGGAGGAGACGATTTTAGCTTCCGCGGCCGATTCCAGCTTCAGAACCCTAGTGATGCTATAGCTCTACCCGGATTCCTCATTCTACCTCAGTCCTTCGGGTTCGATTGCTTGCCCGACCTCTTTTTTTTTTCTCCTTTCAGTTATTCGCTGATGATCTTAATATTTCTTTTCGTATGTAGTGCAATATATCTCGGAGAGACCTTCTGCAGTTACATCAGCATAAACAACAGCTCCAGATTTGAGGCGAGGGATGTAGTTATTAAGGTGATACTCTTTGCTTGCCCTTATTGTCATAATGTAGGTGGGATGTAATGTGCTAGCATTTGGAAGAATTTATCAACGGAGAATTTCATTGATTAGTTGGTGACTTAAACAACTGTGCCGCCAAGAACACTCATAAACGCCAAATTTACTCTATCTCTTCATCTTATATCTGTATTTGTTCTGTTTTATTTAGGTGCGCTTAATTGTTTATTATTATTTTTTTCATTAGGATGAGTTTGGCTATGATTTAGAATTGCGGTGTCACTATGAGTTGTCATTCTAATGCTGTGGTCCCTTAAATATGAAATCAGTTATATACTTATATGGTTGCTGACCAACATAAAACCTAGTGAAATGAATGAGTGAATTAGCTAGGATTGGAAATCTACAATGTTTTTCCATAAATTATAAGATTGGAAGCCTACAATGGGTTTATGGAGGAATATGCTTGGAGATGATAAACAAGCATGTTAGAGGGCACATCTAAGTATTATTGATTGAAAATGTTATACTAGCAGGTTTAGATGGTTGTGAATTTTAATGAAAGGAATAGACAGAGAGGTTTTGTTGAGACAGGATGAACAATACCTAGGAAATAATAGAGCTAAAATGCTATCTTTTTATGTAGCAGTTATAACTGGAATGTGGAAACTTTGAGCTATGAAGGTTTGTTAGAAAGCCATCATGAGTATTTCTGTAAGGGATATTGGTGAAGCTGACAATAGAAAATAAAAGCTAAATTCATGATAGAATGAATGAAAAATTGGTCAGAAATTCTGATTCAAGATGAGAGAAAACATTAAATTGGAAATGTACAATCGAGATGATATTTCTGTTCTAAAATAATAACGTAGAATGTAAATATATTTAACCGATAATGCAAGGTGACAGGTGGCATATATTTAATTGGAACTTCTTAACGTAAGTATCAAATGGTGTTTGTCTAGTAGTCTTGTGACTTTAATTATGGTTTTATAAGCTTATCTGTGCCTGAGGAATGTAACGTGATTAAATCCGGCCAAGGTAGTGGTAGAGTACATATATTGGAGAATAAGCTCTATCATGAACTTAGATTATTAAAAGCAGCAAGAAATCCAAACTTGCCAATTTGCCATCAATGTAATCCTTATATTAAATTCCAACCTTTAATACTGCTACCATAAGAAAGTAATAATTCCCCAGTAGTGTTTTGGATTTAAGAAGCTAGTTTAGTGCGAAATAGTGGAGGTAATGATGGTTATACAACTATAAATTTATAGTATAGATTGATTTACAGAATGTACCGAACAAAATGTCAATGAGTTTTAATATCACTATTCACTGGAATTGAATGCTTGCTGGGAACTTGAGTGAAATGAAATGGAATAAAAATTAAAAGGCTCAAATCATTGGCCTTAGATTCATAATCAATTATAAAACTGTTGAGAAATTAAGTCATTTTGATGAGGACATCGATCAGAGGTTCAAACATGTGTATCGCCGGAAGCATCGCAGATCGATGGCCACGATTTAGAGTTTATATTTTTAATTATTTATGCATTTTATTTTCTTTGAGTCTTCCTATTGTACCCCTATTATGAGTTGAGTCATGTTGTAGCCCTGAGGGCAATTTAGTCTTTATTCATTCTTTTATGTTAAGACCTATATATATGTCATTTTTATTGTAATGGGATGATGAATATTTTGAATGAAAATTTTGTTGTTGTTTTCTTCTTCATCTTCATCTTGTGGTGCACTAGAGAGGAGAAAGAGAGCCCGAGGTGAGGGCAAACGCAATACCCGCCAGCAATGTTTAAAATTGCGTATTCGGGTATTGAGGCGTTTTTCATCCGTGAGGCGAGGCGGAAGACTCAAGGCGTTTTGAGGCGTAAGCCTCAAAATCAAAAGATTGCATAAACATAAAATGATAATTTTTTTATATACTAATGAGTGAATAATATAAAATATAAAAAAGCATAAGATATGAAGTGAAATCAAAATATCCCAATAATAAGACAACATGAAATGTAGTTCAACTCAAAATTCTATCTTTCCCAAATCCCAATATTCTTTTCATTAACATATAATTCAAATTTCCAAAAATAAATAGCAATGACATATCGCATAAGAACTCATAAGTCATCAGCACTCTCATCATTAAGGGGTTCTTCATTTGAATCATCATTATGATGAATTGCTCGCTCCCCTTCCTCCTCTCCTATAGAGTCCAATGTCGGGCATTTACTTCAAGATTTATGTAAGTTTTAATATATATAGCGTGAGGCGTAAGCCTCATGCCAGTGAGGCGGAATTTTGAAATTCAAATTTCAAATTAAAAAACTTTCCTTATTTGCAAAGTCTAAATAAGGAAGTTTTTCGAATTCAAAATTCAAACGGAATCTGATTGAATGACTCATTATTTCCCCCCCATAAGTTTCAAACTCATTTGGAAAGGGATTAACTCTCCCTAATCACTCCTCCCCCTCTCACAATGCCGCCGACCCTACTAGGGTGGAAATCCCTTTAATGCTATTTTAATGCATTCAATTCACTTGATTCAAAATCTAAATTCAAATTAACCTCCCTCCAAATTTACTCAAATCTGAAATTAAATTCAGATTTTGACTAAATCCCTTCAACACTCCACCTAACCTAATCTCCCCAAACCCTAGCAGCCTCCCTCATCTCTACCGCCGACCCCTCTCCTCTTTCCCCTTCCCCACTTTGGCCGGCCCTCTCCTTGCTCCCCTTGGGAAGTTTGAAGCCAAGAGAAGAAGAAGACGACGCCTTCCCACCTCCACTTCAATGACGTATGGCCGATCCTGAAGTTGATAGCGGATTCGTACTCGACGTCTACGGAGACATCCACATCGCTCGATCTCCATTCTTCGACGTCGGGTTTGGTTTTGACAACACCGTTGAAGACTACTTGAACCGAATCCTCCCCAACCTCGTGGACATCATCGATGACCAATTCTCGGACTACGAGTGGACCATCAACGGCCATCTACCCGAGACACCTCCACCTCCGACTACTTCTCTACCACCGTTGACCTTTCCGTGGATTAAGACCGTTGGTGTCGCAATCGTCCTCGTGGCATCGTTGGGTGTGCTGAAGACCTCCCGCTAAAGCCTAGTGTGGTCGAGTGATCAATCCCCGAGGTGAAAACTCTCATTATTAAATCATGGATTGTTGATTAAGAGCTTTTAATATTGCTACTATCTTTGTTTATCTATGAGATTTGGTTAATCTACATGTACTCCTTCGCCTAAGCAAGTGAAAAACTAAGACTCTTTAATAAATTTGCTTGTCATCACAATAAGTTATTGATTTGGGATTACATTGCAATTAGCTCTGAAATTTCTTAATAAGCTCATGTGCATTTGGTTTCATATCATCTTGGTATCAAAGCATGGCTAGCATGCGTTACATGTGCTAGATACATCTTAGGAGCCTACTTTAACTTGTCCTTAGTTATTTGTATGCATAACATCATCTAGATAGTTTTATTTTCTGTTTTCCATTTGCTGTCCAGAAAATCCTGCAGTAGTTTCTTCATTTTACATAAGCATATTTCATTGTTTAAGTGCTGCCATCATCCCCATGACATCCATAATAGTCTAGGCCACTTAGACAATTGACTTAACTTGCTGTCCACTAAATTTCTGCACCTAGTAGTCGCCGTTGGGTGAGTTTTAAGTAGTGTTCATTTGTTGTCCACATCCTAGAGTCCATCTAAATTGCTTAGATAACTTCGTCCATCATATTAGTTTGCTGTCCTGAATTTTCCCGTTGCTGTTGGTACCTTTTTAGTGAGCAAACCAGTGTGATTAGCTGCTGCCCTTGACTTAGGAACCCTCCCTAGTGTCCCCTAGCACCCAACCATGGATCCGGAACACATTCAAACAACCTTAGTCCTGATTGTGGGCCAATTGGGAACGGTTACACAGAAAATTAGGAACACCCAAACAGACTTAGCTGAGTTTAGATGCCAAACAGGAGATAGACTTGACAACATTGAGAAGATAGGAAATCCAGCCATCTACACCCCTTCTAGGCCCCACTCTCCTTATGGAGACGACAACCGCACTGAATACGGACCTCATAGAGACCACTACCGACCCAATCAAGAATCGGTAGGACGTGACACATCTTGGAGAGACAACGATACCTAACTTCTTAAGAGTATTAAGATAGATGCCCCGACTTTTGATGGTACGTTAGATCCCCAAGTTTTCCTTGATTGGCTCAAAGGAATGAATAGTTATTTTAAGTGGTACAACATTTCGAAAGAAAGAAAGGTCCGATTTGCTGAGAGGAAGTTGACTGGTAGAGCCAACCAGTATTGGACTAACATAGAGCACATGCGGGAAACACGAGGAGAATACCCTATAACTGATTGGGGAACAATGAAGCAAGAGTTGAAGCGAAAATACTTCCCTCCTTCATACTATCCTAGACTTTTGGATCGTTGGAATAGATTAACCCAAGGTAACAAGCCCGTTAAGGAATACATCTCGGCCTTTGATGACTATTCGATGTAATGGAGAAGAAACCACCACTCCTGCCCAACTTTTGTCATTGTTTAGAGCTGGGCTAAGAGAAGATCTTAGGAATAAACTTTTTGTCAGAGGAGTGAATACTTTTGAAGCCGCCTGTAGTCTTGTACTAGACTTAGAAGAATTTAGGAGCCATGCCTCTAGGATCCAAGATTACCGTCCTAACCCGTTCAAGTCCTCCTCTAGCCAAACTTACAACAAGCCCACTGGACTCCCAAGTAGTCGGCCCACCCAGGGCCAAACCCAACCTCGTTCGGACTATAAAGGAAAAACACCAGAACGGGAAACCCCCAAAACCTCTGTGATCTAAATGCCTTTCTCTATTTTCTCTCTCTTCTTCATATTTCAATTTCTTTCTGGCCAAGCAACCAAGTGAGGGAGTTGTATATATATATATATATATATATATATATATATATATATATATATAATGGCACTTAAGAAGGCCAATGCGTCTTATT